TAACGAATGTTGTACACGAAAAACCTGAAACTAGAATTGAAAAATCTTCTGCCCATGAGGGATCGATCCTTAAACCTTGGGGACGCCAATCGGATACACATACCTCACAGCCACGCTAGGTTGGAAGGACATCCGCTTAAATTACATTATGAATTTTAGGGAGATATTTTTCACTCTTATTTAACTCTGCATTGTTAATGATAGTTAATAATAATTCATTATTACATTATTGAAAAATTAAACATTACTAATTACTTTACTTTTTATATTGTTATATTTACTATAATTATTATAATTATATTGTTGAATTTATTATTGTAATTATAATATTGTAACTTTATTTTAATTATTAATCAATATTTTTATTAATTGTCAAAAACATTTTAAGGCGTCCTTGCGTTTGCGAAGGCAAAAAATAGGCCCCACTTTAATGTTTTTTTCACAGTCATTTTATTTGAAATATTAAAAACGATTTTTGTACCTTAAAGTACATTATAAAAACTACAAAAAGAAAGAATTGTTTCGTTTTTTAACCGTTATTTACGATTCGTAGACAGCCCCAAAAATGGCGATCTCAAATTTGTAAGAGTTTGCGGTGCCCCCTCTAGAGCCGCTCCTGACAGTCTAAAATCAAAAAATCGTCGTTTTTCTCGTTTTTTTTTAGGAAATTTAAAAAATCGGACAAGTGCGAGTTGCACTCGCACTAAGATCGAGGGTTCCGTACACCAAAGTTAAGGGGGGGGGACAGGGTCATTTTTTGCACTTTTTTCGAAAAAATTTAATTTCTTTCCCTCCTAGTTCGCAAATATGTCCGTCAATCGGGTTCGCTATATTTTTCCTGTATTCTGCACTTAAAACTGAAGATCCCTACCAAATTTCATCTCACCAGGTTGAGATTTGTAAAAGTTAAGGGGGGGGGGCAGCCCATTTTGCGTGGTTGGGACGGACACACGAGTGATTTCATAAGGGTTCCGTCAGTACACCTACGGTGTACGGAACTCTAAAAAACAAAATTTATTCGTTAGTATACATTAATACCTAGTGGACTAATGTGATGAAATAAAAAAAAGTAAAAGAAACGAAAATGGCGTCCTCTTAAAGTCAATTTTTAAGAAATGATGATTTTTATCTTTTGAATTTTTGACTTTAAAAGTACCGCATTTTCGTTTTTTGTACTTTTTTTATTTCATCACATTAGTCATCTAGGTATTAATGTATACTAAAGAATAAATTTTATTTTTTTGATTTTAGACTGTCAGGAGCGGCTCTAGAGGGGGCACCGCAAACTCTTAGAAATTTTAGATCGCCAATTTTGGAGGCCCTCTACGAATCGTAAATAACGGTTAAAAACGAAACAATTTTTTCTTTTTGTAGTTTTTATAATGTACTTTAAGGTGCAAAAATCGTTTTTAATATTTGAAATAAAGTTTTTGTGAAAAAAACATTAAAGTGGGGCCTATTTTTTGCCTTCGCAAACGCAAGTACGCCTTAAGGTATAATTGCACATACATATTTTTCTAAAAAAATTATTTTTACTAATAATATTACAATGTGGGTAATAAAAATTAATTATATCCACATAATTAATATTTATTTATGTTTCACTATTTTAGTTTAGGGTGATGTGGGGTGTTGTGAAACATGGGGGGATGTGCAACACCGCCGATTTCTGATCTACAGTTCGATATTGAACAGAGCCAAGTATTGACATTTGTTTGTGTCCTCAGTAGCTTGTTTTTGATATAAAACTCACGAGACAGGTCGCAGCTAGGTTTGCTGTATACGTAAGTTGACTTAAATTTCTCGAGAAGGAAATATTTCTCGTACTTTACATTTCTAGTCGTTTCGTGAAGGGTTTTAATTTATTTTATAGATAAGAATGTGCATATTGTTGCTTTTATAAGTGTTTTGAAATATCTTTTTATATTTTGTGTTTCCATTGCATTGTGTTGCGTATATAAATCATTTTTCGCAAAATATCATATTTATTTATTTAGTATATAAACGGGCTTATATTGCCCTTTCGTACAATGTACTGAACAATGAAAATCTTACGTTACTAGTTGACCGCATTGTTATTATTTTTGTCGAAAATCTGCTTGCGTAGTTCTCTAACAAACGCATTAAGCGAAACGCCATAAAAATTTACTCTGTCATAAAACTGATTTGCCTCACGACTCAACCTATTGACCACTGAATTTTCTAAGTAATTAGTTCTAATAAGTTGTTGATTAAATAATGGAACTTCAGTTCTGGGAGAATATTTGGGGTGATGTGCAACACTTTTTTTTGGGTGGACGTAACTACTTTTTACGTGCCATAACTGCGATTCACATGATGAATAAAAAGTGATTTGTTATTTTCCTTCAATTATATTCCTTATTTAATTATGAATAAATAAAAAATTAAAAAATAATTTTTTTTTCTTTGGTGAAATCTCCACTTTTTGGAGGTCAACTATACCTTAGTAAATTTTTTTTGGCAGATTTCGATTAGTTTACATTGAAAAAGCCTAAAATTAATAATTAAAGAGATTTTCATAGATATTTATGCATTACATACCTGAATTTTACTGGTGTTGCACATCACCCCAACTTTTTGGAAAATGCAAAAACAGACGTTTTCAAAAAAGCGAAAAATTTGTAGGAAAAATTAAAAATTCTGAAAATGTAATAATGCACAAATATTCTATTATAATGCCTCTAAGTCATTCAATTTTGAAATATTTAAAAATTTAAATATTTGACATGTTTTTCGTCTAACGAAAAAAAACGTTGCACATCACCCCACAACACCCTACTTATTTAAATAAAAGATTTTTATTTAATAAAATTGTTTTATTGGAATTTTTTGTAAGAATATTCTACAATATTGAAATTTTTTTTAAATATGTTAAAAAATTAAATAATATGCAGAATTTTTTAATAAATAATGCTGGAAAGTTTTTCTATTAATTAATCTGAATTATTTATCTAAAAAGATAGATAAATAGAGTCTAGCGAGGGCCTTAATAGAGACAGGGACAAATGGTTAAATTTCTACACTGGTTCATTGAAAAAGTTTTAGGCCGTTGGTTGTACTGGTTCTCTTAAAACGCCAGAACAAGTGTTTTCCTTCTGACCAGCAGGTCTGACTTACTTCTTCTGTTCAACCTCTGTTTCCCTAAACCATAGAACAACGCATGCGCTGAAAAAGTATGTCTACTGTCTAGAAAAAGGACGTCTGACGTGCTGGTTGAAAGGGAAACTGGTTGTTTCCGAACCAGTACAGCCAACGGCCCAACATTTTTTCAGTGTTGTCACTTTCGATCTAATACAGTTCAATAATGTTATGGATAAGGACGGGAAACGTTTATTTCACGTGAGCGGTCTCGTTTTTTGACCGCGTACTTGCCTAACATCAAATAAATAATTTGTAAACATATAAACCCGAAACACACAAAAAATGTAAAAGAACATAGAAAAAATACACTTAACATTTAGCCCCATCCATTACTTAAGGGGTTACATGGCTCAAAACGACCTGAAAACGTATGTTTTTTTAATAATTTTTTTTTATCAAATAAATAAATTTGTTTATTTGAACATACTTTGGTAAGTGAAAGTACACTATTAAATATTTATTTTTGATTTATTTATACACTCGTCTTTTTGCCTTAATATTAGTGTTTACAAGTGTCCCCGTGGAAACTTTTCTTACATACAATAAACTTATACTAAATTTTGGGTCTACAGAACGTCTTGAAATTAGGAGTACTCGCATTTGCCTGGACCACCCGTCTAATGGGTTTTCTCGCCAGTGGAGAGGGAAACTGTAGAAAACCTCTCCGAGTACAACCGGTTTATCGACAGTCGAGTTCTAATGGTGTGTACCGGACAATAATCGACAGTGCACATCATTATACCTCGACGTCAAACCTCCCGCTCAGATTATCTCACGTGCCGGAAAAATCCCACGCTAATGGGCGCGAACCAATTACCCTTGGTTCTACAGCGTCCGCCGAGCGAGGCATTTATCCGACCGAGCTAATCTGTCGGTTACACTATTATATAAGTAAGATATAAAATTTTTGATAAAAAATTGCTTTTGTGGTGGTCAAGATATCTTTTGACTGCTTCATCTAAAGTCAAAATACCAAAAGTTTTCTGTTAGTGAGTGAATATATCTCGTGATTGAACAAAGGGGTTTTTAAAGAAATTGAAATTTGGATTTTTGACAGTGTCTTTTGTCAAAAGTTACAATTTTTAGAACCATTAAAAACATGTAATAAAGTCAAAGGTAACAAGTCTACAAAGAATTCTGATGCATAGTTGAATCGGTTAAGTTATTTGAGTCTTTGTAAACAGCCAATTTCAAAAAGGTACCCTATTTGGCCCCACTCTCCCCTAGTTATTAAGAGAAAAAGTGAAAAAACTTTAAAATAAATTTTATGCGCTATAATACAAAAATTTTAACTTATTTTAAAAATTCCCCTTTTTTAAATTTAATCCCCTTTCTTATCTAATATTACATGAAAAAATCACTGTGATTTATGATTTGATTTCTAAGCTTTTAAAAAGAAAAGATATCTTAAAAAAACAAAACAAAAAGGAATACAATAATTATTATTATTGTTAATTGTCATTATTAATATGATTATTATTGTTATTGCTATTATCATTGGTTGTAATTATTATTACTGTTATTATTATTAGTATTAATTTTGATATAATTTAAATTATTCAGAGTATATAATTGAAAATTGCTTAATTAGAGAAGATAGTGCTGAAATTAGTCGTCAATCGATTAATTTCAATGGAGGACGATATTATTTGTCAATATTATATGTTACAGTGGTTTGACAGTAATAAATTTTCGTAGAATAATGAACGTTTCCCATAATTAGTATTGTTGAATTGTGTACAAAACAATATTATATATGTACATGGTGGAGCGATAAAATCCGTCGACCTCGCTTTGTGGGAATTGACTAACAGGACCATATAATTGTTTGTTTGCAGCAGTATATTGTAACGACGAAGAGGCCTGAAGCCGGTTTTTCGAACCTGTACAAAGATGACGTGCAAAGGCGCATCAAAACAAGGAAAAAGAAAAAGCGTCTCTTAAACATTTTAGAGGAAGTGGTACCCACGAAATAAGGAAGCATTTTTCTGAGATGTCATATTATCATATGTTGAACGAGTAGCCGAAAAAGCAGGAAGAAATTCGTCATTGAAAGTTATATTTGTTGTGTTGTGTATTTTGAAATTGTGATTAAGTCGGAAGCAGTGATGCATTCTAACAACAGTGCTGTACCCAGTGAGATGACCACAAATCTGGATTGCAGTAGATAGCGTTAGTGGCGAATGCGTGAAGGTCAATGCATGTTACGCCACTGGCCTGGGCCCACGTGACCAGGGGGCCCGTAATGTCCCCGCGAGAAGGCCGATGGGCCCGAGCATTGCACCTGGTTGTTCTGCTGGTCATGTGGTTGACGTTCACCGATGCCTGGCCTCTCCAACCGGTACCACCACACAAAGGTGAGTCACTGTCTCCTTATATACACGCGCCAATAAGATCCCTTTTCTTATTTCGATAAGAACAAAAATTCGCTTTGTCTAGCTGCGGAATATTGTTTCTTTGTAGCAGGAAAATTCAATATGATTGATTTTCCCTTTAACTCACAGGGTTGCCACAGGTCAGGGAAAATGAAATTAGTCAGGGGAAAATCAGGGAATTTTATCAAAAGTTCTGAAAAAAGTATTAAATTTCTAGAATTGATTAAAAAAATTCTGGTTTTTGATGTCTAGCAATTTTTGAAGATATTAAAAATATTTAATTCTTCTTGGCATAATAGAACTGTAAACGGAAGCTCTGACACTGGTCGAAAATAGGTCGAAAATTGAATAAGTTTAGATTGTAAAATAGGTAGGGATATATGATTATAGATAGTATTAAGTTTCGCTAGAGTTTAAGGTAAAATGTTAAGTAGGTTGAAGTGTTATGTATTTGTTGAGCCTCGAACCCTGTATAAGACAGGGAGAGTAAATAAAGTTACATTGAGAGAAGTCCGAGGCTTAATAGTTCCCGCTAGACGTCGCTATGCGCTACTCTGCTTGTCGCGTTTGAGTTGTTTCGAATCTGGTGCTGAGACTCCCCGAATCCAATCAAACATTGTTCTCGCATGTGAGAGAACAACTGGGGGTCGATTACGTAATTTCACTTTTAATTTCACTTTTACTTTCACTTTTACTTTCACATTCACAAATTTTTACTTTCACATTCATAGATTTTCACTTTCAATTTCACATTCATAGATTTTCACTTTCACAAATTTTCACTTTACTTTTACTTTTACATTTACTTTCACAGATTTTCACTTTTACTTTCACTGTCATAGAATTTCACTAGGGGAATGTAAGGTATCGTGGCGTGTAAGGTATGGTGGCGGACTTGTCAAATCTGGCATGTAACGTCACATCTGAAGCGTCTTATCACTATGGTCGATGTTTTTTATCGTGATGACATTCTATATGCAGTAGTATTAATGATCCAACGAGTGCTTTGTACTCTAATTGATTTTGAATAAAAAAGTAGTGAAAAAAAAAGTTTTATTGGATATGTGTGTTAACAGTGCCAGAGTGAAGATTTTTTGAAAATTGAGTCTGGTAAATGTATGGTTAGACCTTCACTGAAAGAATTTTGGGCAGGCTGCAGGCTTTACATGAGTGCCGCTAGAGCTCGCTGCCTCAAGCTCGCAGTTAACCTCAAAAAGGCGAGAATCTACTCCCGAAAGATAAGCAGCAACTCCTCAGGGGCAGCTGCTCACCTTTCGGGAGTAGATGCTCGCTTTTTTGAGGTGAGATGCGAGCCCTGTGCAAGGGGCACTAATTTCGGACATGAAAAGCCAGCAGCCTGCCTAAAATTATTTCAGTGTTGGACAACAGTTTTTTGTATTTTACATTTTTCTCAATTCGCGCTGTATGGAAGTAACACCATCATATTTTCATCAATAGCTAGTAAGGTATGATGGCGCATATTTTTTTCCTTTAAGATTTTTTTATAAAATGAATACTTTTCATTATAATTACAAAAAACTGAAAAATTTTATTTTTAAAATTTCATTGAATTTTTAAACATAAATCGTCATATCTTTGACAAATATTATTCAATTTACTTCATATTTGGAATGTAAACAAATTAGGGTCTACAGAAGACGATTAAATTATAAACATTTTAAAAATCATTAATTTTAAAACAAATTTTAATTATTAATAATGGCTTGTCAATAACCTCGTTTCCTTACCTTCGCACCGACCGTGTTGTTGCGAATTTCTGAAACGCGATTTGCTACGAATGTTTTTAGTAAATGAGGTTGAGTCTGTATCCATTGCAGTGTTATAGTCGAATCTGACCACAAATAAATACTATCAATTTCTTTGCATAATGATGATTTAACAACCTTTAGTAAACTTGATAATAATAGAGCTCTGCATAATTCTAACTTTGGTAATGAAATTGACTTTAGAGGAGCAACACGATTTTTTGAGCACAATAGATTTGTGAGCACTTCATTTTCTTTATTTATTGATCAAATATGGATGCAAGCTCCGTACGCTTTATCCGAAGCATCGCAAAATCCGTGAATTTCCGTTTCAATTGAATTGTTTATAATCACTTTCCTATCAAATTCAACTGAATCTAATAATTTTAATTGAGATTTTATAATATTCCAATTTGTTTGAATATCAATTGGTACAGACTCATCCCAATCTACTTCACATTTCCACAACCCATGCATTAATAATTTTGTTGTTACAATTACTGGACCTAACAAGCAGATCGGATCATATGATTTCGCAATATTAGATAATATTGTTCTCTTTGTTACTTTTGATTCATCGAGATTTGCTATTTTGTATTTCAACACGTCCTTTGCTGTGTTCCATTGAACCCCTAGGGCCCCTTGGGTCTCCGACTTACTGAATAATTCTACCTGCGTTGTGTCATCAGGTAACGATTCTAAGAGTTGAGGTTCGTTAGATGCCCATTTTCTTAATTTTAACCCTGCGCTATTGGTAACCGTAATTAAATTATCACGTAACCTGATGCAAAAAACCTCTGCAACCTCTGAAAATTCTGAATTAACATCATCTGCTAGTTGAAAAAGGGTGCGAATTGCCAAAAAGGGGGCTGACGCGGTCCCATAAGTTACATACAGTCTTTGTCCGATAAATTTTTATAGGCTCACTTTCGTTTGTTCTATACAGGAGTTGTTGATAAGGTGTATCTCTCCCGTCTACTAAAATTTGTCTATACATTTTTTCAATATCGGTCGTGAACGCGTATTGTATATTTACGCTTTGTTTGTCGATGTATTGCCCTGGTAAATAATCGCAAATTCGAGGAATAATAAGAAACTCTAAATTTGTGGTATAATTTGATTGTTTTGAAAAGATGGATGTACTTATTGATTCTTTAATTCGAGTTTGTAATTGATTGAATCCTTCAACAGGTACATTTATCTTTTTAACAGGTAAACCCAATGCATCCGCAAATTTCTTAGCCATAAAATTGTATTGAGATCCCGTATCTAATAATATTCGCGCTTAACTCTTTTTTCCCTCACTGTTTTGAATGTCGACTAATGCAGTGGATAAAAGAATTTGACTAGGGACAATGGCATTACAAGCCGTAAGAGACGCTGTAGTCGATTCCTGGTGTGAATTTTCTGTGTTTTTAACTTCTTGAGTTTGCTTTGAATTTGTATCATTTTTTTCATAGTGTAATAATGTGTTGTGTTTCCGACCGCACTTCTTACATCCTTGCCATTTACAATCATCGTTTCTATGCCCTTTGTTGAGACAATTAAAACATAAAGTGTGTGGTTTTACTGCAGCGAATCTATCGGAAATGGCAAGTTTTCGAAATTGTTCGCATGCGAATATTTTGTGTGTACCCTGACAAAAAACGCAATTAGCTGTGTTATTAGTAACGGTTAGTGCTTGTCGTTTATTTTGTGAATTGGGATTTGTCCTTTTAATAGATCCATCGCTTGAATTGACCTGAGAGTTGTTCGCGTGTGTATTAAAGTCAGTAGCTTGTAAAATCTGACAGCGATTTTCTAAGAAAGTGACAAATGTTTTCAATTTTGGCATCGTAGTACCAGTCAATGATTTTTCCCACTCTTTATGTGTAGTACGATCGATTTTGGATGTGATTATATAGATTAATAGAGTGTCCCAATATTCTACATTTTCTTCAAGAGATTTTAAAGCTCTTAAGTGTGTTTGAATCTGGTCTATTAGTTTACGTAATAGTGTGGCTGATTCTTTTGAGAGAGAAGGTAATTCCATGAACGCTTTGACATGATTCTGAATTATTATTCGCTAATTATCGAAACGCGATTTTATCAATTCCCACGCGACAAAGTAATTTTCCGCGGATGTTTCTAGTGAGTTTATTACTGACGCTGCTTCGTCCTTTAAACAAGAACGTAAATAGTGTAATTTTTGAATATCGGCAAGTTTTTGATTGTTGTGAACCATGGATTTAAAAGAGTCATGAAACTCGAGCCATTTATCAAAGGCACCGTTAAAGGTTGATAATTCAATTTTAGGCAACCGAATATTATTTTGTTCGTTATCTTGTACATAGTGTTCTTAAATTCTCGAGAATTTAAGTTGGGGTAATTTCCCTGAGGAAATTACGGTAATTTAATTTTTTAAAGAGAATATAAGAGAATTTAAGAGAATATTGAGAATTTAAGTTTATTTATTTAAATAATGTATATTTATTATTTTTATTAATATAAATACATATAATTCAGCACAATTGCGATGATTACTTTTATCTAAAAAAATTCTTTAAGTTATATATGTAAATAAAAAAAAGTAAAACCACAAATTTTTTAAGTTATAAATTTAATGTCATTTGCATTTATAAGGTTTATAAAATATGCGTAACTTAATACGAATAAAAGTTTAGATACTTTTGAATATAGATAAATAAAGAATAAGGATTATATTTAACATTATATACAATGAATTAAAAAATTTTTTAAATAAATATTTTGAAATTATTTGTGAATAAAGGCTTTCTGTCAGCTCTGCTGCGAGAGTAAGAGAGAAAAACCATTTAATTTGAATTTTCTGACTCTCTTGCTCTTATGTGTTACCATGACAACCTGCAGTCAGTAGAGCTGTGCAAGTACCTTCAATATATAGCATTTGTGGCATATTCTTGTTTACAAAATTTACAGAAGAATTTAATTGTTTTTGTATTCATTGCTTTTAAAATATTTCCATTTTACACTCTTTGGTTTTGTCATTTTTTAAATCTTTAAAAATATAGCCACTTTAATTAACAAAATAACTACTAAATAAAAACACAACGTCGGACAATCGAATTTACCACAGTGTAACGACAAAAGTGAGGTTATGTCACATTCTCTTAAATTCTCAGAGAATTTAATCGTCGGTTATATTCTCGGTAATATTCTCGTTCTCGGTAATATTCTCTGGGTAATATAACCGACTTA